GACAAATGCAGCCAGGCCTTCTGGACAGTGGCACCAACAGTAGGATTTTTGGTTTTTTTTAAGATTTACTTACATATTTTAAAGAGAGCATGGGGGGAGGGGGAGAGGCAGAGGAAGAGAGACTCTCCAGCAGACCCCATGCTGAGCACAGAGCCCAACACAGAGCTCCATCTCAGGACCCTGAGATCAGGACCTGAGCCAAAATCAAGAGTCCAACTCAACCGACTGAGCCACCCAGGTGCCCCCCCCCCCCCACAGCAGTTTTGATCATCTGTGATGCATTTTTTTCCCTGAGAATGGAGGCCTTCGGCTTTCTGGGGCTGGGATCTTTGGAGAGCATGGCGAGTTTCTTCTGGAGGTCTCACCCCCTTGGCTATTCTGTTTCCTTGTGCATTTAGTTAACTTTCCAAGGGCAATGGGAGAAGTGAGCTAGGTACGTGGTTATCTGGTGCATTTTAACTGCGTCTGTGCAGGTGAGGATTTCGGTGCGGGGAGCGGAGGTGCTCTCTGAGGGAGATCGGTGCCCCTCAGCAGGGTGACGGATTGCTGGCTGGAGCACGGCTCTTACTTCACGTGCCTTAAATCATCAAAGCCCAGGGGGATGCTTAGGTAATCAGAAGAGTTCTCATGCACACAGTGTGAGATCATCTGATTTATCAGGGCCCCCAAGGCAGGGAGCCAAGGAGATGGCCCTTGAGCACACGCTCTTCAGTGCCCACCCCTCCTGCCACTGGACGGGAGCCCGTGCGCACTCTGTGTATCCCTTGCCCCGCATAGGGCTGTGTGTGTAACTGCTAGTGAACACGGAAAAACCAGCTCCTAAAACCCATGCTCGATGTCTGGGGTGGCCCCCCTGCAGGTCAGGGTGGAGGGACCCACACAGCAGAGGCCCCTGACTGAGCAAGGAGCACAGCCCCAGGAAACTGGTGTTCAGTGAGCCCTTGTCCTGGTGGGCACTCTAAGTGGCCAGTGACAGAAACCTCCATCAGACAAAAGGAAGGGGAGAGGCAGGCTCTGCAGGGACAAGAGGCCCTACTGTGCCTTCTCTATGCGGTGCCTGTCTTGGGCAGCGTGGCCACCATCCAGTCCCCTGCCCTGCTCCAGTCCTGTCTGTACCTGCTTCGTTCCCTGTAGTTCCAGTAAATGTCATAGACTAGAGTCTCCTTGACCCATCGTGGTGGCGAGGAGGATGGCACACTGATCGGCCTGGCCAGGGTCCCATTCAGGCAGCCCCAGGGCTCAGGGATGGGCTGCTTTGGCCAGCCAGGCCCGAATGCTCTGGCCCAACCACCTGGAGCAGAGGAGGCTGGTTCTGACAGCAGTCAGGGCGTCGGTGCTGACGGGAGCCAGTGAGTGTCTGCCCCACGCATCCATTGTTGTGTCCCGCCCCCCGCCCCCAGGACAGCCTTCACCATCCCAGCCTCCCTCTCTGTGACCGCAGAGCGGCTGAACTCCAGTAGACGCCCACTGGAGTGAGTTTCATGCCTTGTACATGTCTCCGGACTTCATCATGAGCAAAGGCAGGGGGTTCATTCAGTCAGATCAAGTGGCTGCTCTGTGCCAGGTTGCACTGCATGTTGGGGTCACATCAGTTAGCCCCACACATGGCCCCCACCTTCAGCTGGCTGGGGAGACAGGAGACAGATAAACACATAATGTTACGTAGTGGTGGGTGCTGTGAGGAGGGCAGAAGTGGATGGGGGTGGAGAGGAGGTGACCTCCATGAGGAGGTCAGGTTACCCTCTGAGGAGGTGACAGAGTGAGCCGTGCAGAAAAGAAGTGACAATGGGGAGACTTCCAGCCAAAGGAGCAGCATGTGAAAAGGTCCTGAGGCCCAGTAAGAAGTCCAGGGTGGCCTGAGAGGGAGAGCAGGGTGGGAAGTGGCAGAATGTGAGGAGAGAAGACAGCCAGTGGGGAAGGGTCGACTCATGTAGGGCCTGGCAGCCACGGTGACAACTTGAGACTTCTCTGAGGGTGTTGGGACACCCCTTGGTGGGTTGTGACTTGGCATGATGGAATCCAGGTGAGGATCCCTCTGGTGTCTGGAGGGAACCCAGATCATAGAGGACAGAAGCAGAACCAGGTCGGGGGTTTCCAGTAGTCCAGGGCAGAAGGTTCAGATTCGAGACTCAGGAGGCAGAGCCACAGGGCTTGCTGAGGGCTAGGTGTTGCTGGTGGGAGGGATGGGGTGACCCTGGAGGTTGGGCCCGAATAAGAAGGAGCATGTTGCTGCCATTGCCCATTTCCCTGGGCAGGGTGGGCAGCAGGTTTGGAGGAAATTCAGAGTGCTCTTCCGGACATGTGATGGTGGAGGTGACCGGTTTCCAGATGCTTTGTGGGTGAGGTGAGGAGCCCTCTGCAGGGCAGGTAGTGCCCAGGGCCCCCAGCTCTGAGCCTGTCCTCTGTGCCGGCTAGCCCAGAGCTGAAGCACAGCCCTGGGGACCTGTGGGCCCGGCCGGAGACTTGCAGCTCCTGCGATTCCCTTCCTGCGTTTGGGTCTCAGCATCCTCATCTGTGAACTGGGGCAATGAGACCCTCCACCTCCGGGAATCATGATGCTTCTGGGATGCGATCACCTCACCTCAGGGTCTGGGGCAAGTCAGTGCATGCCTGATGGCTGCTGTCACCGCAAGATTGGCTCAGAACAGGCACTGCCCAAAAGGAGGTGGGACAGTCTGGGGCCACAGCCAGGCAGGTGCCTCTGCTCTCGGCACGGAGGTGCCCAGACAGGCTGCTCTCTGGGGGTGGGAACCTGCTTGGGTGTGTGCGCCCAGGTCTGGCTCTCCGCCTATGCAGGGGATCTGCATCAGTGGGCAGGCCTCCTGGTGCTGAGCAAGACGCCAGTCAGCTCTGGAGCCCTGGGCTGCTCAGTCAGCATTGGCCTTGGAGAGCTCGCCACTTGACCTCCTTCTCGGGGCAGACACGGCTGCTCCACTTGGGTTTGCCCTGCTTTTTGACACTCTCTCATTCTTTGAGTCCTGGTTTGCCCTGCACTTAGCCCCCCCTAAGGAGTCTCCACCTGGTTCCCTGAATCGGAGTCCTTGGAGGATCCCCCCAGCTTGGTGCACAGGTCAAAGGCCATAGCTTCGCTTCCACCCAGGCACAGTGGGGACAGGGTGGATGGAGTCACTTGATGAATGACTGCATCTGGGAAAGTGTCTGGGAGCAAGATTTGGGGAAACGTGTTGCAGTGTCTGGAATTCGGATCTGGGCCAAGTACGGAGCTGCCAGTAAGGCCTCTGGGGGCCAGGCCACTGGAGCTTCTCGATCTCCGGGCCTCCCAGTCCCTGGGCCAGGCTCAGAGGTCATGTTCTGTAAAAAACTGCCAACAACTGAGTAACTCCGAGGTCCCAGCAGGGACTTTGTTTCACAGAAGAGAAAATGGGGGTTTGGGAGAGAGGGCAGTGGCTGAACGGGGACCCTCTGGTCCAGCCTGGACCTGGGCCCAACTCTCTTTCCTTTGTGCCGGCTGCACCTCCCACCCCGTGGGCTGACCTCGTAACTGCGAGCCTGGTGGCCTGCAGTGGCAGCTGTGCACAGCAGTGTCCCTGGGGGTCACCTGCCTGGAGCTTGGGGGCTAGGAACAGCACCGCCAGCCCCAGCCTCTGCCCCTTTCCTGCCTGGGCCCGGGAGCAGGGGCCTTGCCCAGGCAGCTCATCCCGTCAGGTTGTGGTTTCTCTGGTTCTTTGCAGGGGGAGGAGTGAGTGAGGGGGACAGCAGAGCTCTTGGACGCTAATTTACAGTCTCAGCGAAGCATGAAATCACTTCCTTCCTTTACCAGATTATTACTTAAGCAGAAAATTGACTTTGAGTGGGGGTTGGGGGTTATATACTTTTGAAAATTAAAAAGGAAAAAGAAGAGGTTTGGGTCTTTTTGAGGGGGGCTCATTACCAGCAGGAAGACTGTAACACAGGCTTTGGGGGGTTCAGGATGCTAATGCGGAGCAGCCCACTGAGCCCCGAATCCTGGCCTGGCATTGGAGGGCACAGCGGTTGGGGGCAGGTGAGGTGCTCGCTGTGGCCCAAGATCCTTGGAGTTGCCTGTAGGGACTAAGGAGGCTCCTTTCCTTCCGGGTTTTCCAGAGGCTTCAGCTGAGGCAAATCTGGACAGCTTTCCTAGTCTGCATGTCTTATTGTCACCCAGGCGCTTCTTGTGGCTCTCTTGTTGGGGACCTCAGAATTGAGCAGGTGTCTTGTAGGTGAAGCTATTCACTGGTCAGCCAGCTCTGCCTCCCAACCCTTGCTGGGTCAGGAGGCCTTGGACGACCCTGGATCTGGAGAACATGTCTACACTGAGCCCTTGGGCTGTAGTGGCAGCTCTTGGGAATTTTCCAAGGGCAAGGAGAGTTGAGGGACTTCAGCCAGTGCTGCTGGGAGCCCAGCTCAGGACAGGTTTCTCTGGGGGAATGGGGGAGGACATAAGACTCTGCATGTGGTCTGTGGCTCGTTGGGCTCATAGTGTGTCCAGCCTGCCACAGAAAACCCTGATGGAATCTGTCTCCTTGGGCCCATGGAGAGTAGAAATTGGGATTGGAACTGGACAGCCGACGTGGGATGTGTGGCTCCAGCATTGTGGGGCAGCGAACTTGCTTCTCGGAGCCCTGGCTCCCCCAGCTGAGCCGTGTCCCCAGAGGACAGCTGGAGAATGGGATATGGCCCAGGGCCCATGCTACTTAGTTAGCCCTGCTCTGACCTGAAGTCTGCTGAATGGCCCAAGGCCACTGTTCCCTTGACCACGGGAGGCAGCTGCAGCTCAGACTCACCTGAGGTGGTTCATTTCGAGGCCAAAGACATTTGGTTCCGAAGCTGGTCTGAAATCCAAAAGATCAGTTTCTGAAGGGAGAGGTAGACACCAGCCACTACCCCCCACACCAGCGCTGGCTGAGGGGAGGGACAGAGCCGAGCGAGGAGGGCTGGGGCTGAAGGGTGGGCAACCTGGGCTGTCTGTGCCAGGAGCCGGGGCCTGGCCCTTCTCACCTGTGGCCTTGTCCCCCCGGCAGGTCGGCTCAGCATGTCAGTCAGCGTCCACGAGACCCGGAAGTCGCGGAGCAGCACGGGCTCCATGAACATCACCCTCTTCCACAAAGCCTCCCACCCCGACTGCGTGCTGGCCCACCTCAACACGCTGCGCAAGCACTGCATGTTCACGGATGTCACGCTCTGGGCCGGCGACCGCGCCTTCCCCTGCCACCGCGCCGTGCTGGCCGCGTCCAGCCGCTACTTCGAGGCCATGTTCAGCCACGGCCTGCGGGAGAGCCGGGACGACACGGTCAACTTCCAGGACAACCTGCACCCCGAGGTGCTGGAGCTGCTGCTGGACTTCGCCTACTCGTCCCGCATCGTCATCAACGAGGAGAACGCCGAGTCGCTGCTGGAGGCCGGCGACATGTTGCAGTTCCATGACGTGCGCGACGCCGCCGCCGAGTTCCTGGAAAAGAACCTGTTCCCCTCCAACTGCCTGGGCATGATGCTGCTCTCGGACGCGCACCAGTGCCGCAGGCTGTACGAGTTCTCCTGGCGCATGTGCCTGCTGCACTTCGAGACCGTGCGGCAGAGCGAGGACTTCAACAGCCTGTCCAAGGACACCCTGCTGGACCTCATCTCCAGCGACGAGCTGGAGACGGAGGACGAGCGCGTGGTCTTCGAGGCCATCCTCCAGTGGGTGAAGCACGACCTACAGCAGAGGCAGGCCCACCTGCCCGAGCTGCTCCGGAGTGTGCGGCTGGCCCTGCTGCCGGCGGACTGCCTGAAGGAGGCCGTCTCCGGCGAGGCCCTCCTCATGGCCGACGAGCGCACCAGGCTCATCATAGATGAGGCGCTCCGTTGCAAGACCAAGATCCTGCAGAACGACGGGGTGGTTACCAGCCCCTGCGCCCGGCCGCGCAAGGCGGGCCACACGCTGCTGATTCTGGGGGGCCAGACCTTCATGTGCGACAAGATCTACCAGGTGGACCACAAGGCCAAGGAGATCATCCCCAAGGCCGACCTGCCCAGCCCCCGGAAGGAATTCAGCGCCTCAGCCATCGGCTGCAAGGTCTACGTGACCGGGGGCCGGGGCTCTGAGAACGGGGTCTCTAAGGACGTGTGGGTGTATGACACTGTCCACGAGGAGTGGTCCAAGGCGGCACCCATGCTGATCGCCCGCTTCGGTCATGGCTCAGCAGAGCTGGAGAACTGCCTCTACGTGGTCGGGGGACACACTTCCCTGGCAGGCGTCTTCCCCGCCTCCCCTTCGGTCTCCCTGAAGCAGGTGGAGAAGTATGACCCCGGGGCTAACAAGTGGACGATGGTGGCCCCGTTGAGGGATGGAGTCAGCAACGCCGCCGTGGTGAGCGCCAAGCTGAAGCTCTTCGTTTTCGGGGGGACCAGCATCCACCGAGACATGGTGTCCAAGGTCCAGTGCTACGACCCCTCGGAGAACCGGTGGACCATCAAGGCCGAGTGCCCCCAGCCTTGGCGGTACACAGCAGCCGCTGTGCTGGGCAGCCAGATCTTCATCATGGGAGGCGACACGGAGTTCACGGCCGCCTCAGCCTACCGCTTCGACTGCGAGACCAACCAGTGGACGCGGATCGGGGACATGACCGCCAAACGCATGTCGTGCCATGCCCTGGCCTCGGGCAACAAGCTCTATGTGGTGGGGGGCTACTTCGGGACCCAGAGGTGTAAGACCCTGGACTGCTATGACCCCACTTCGGACACGTGGAACTGCATCACCACCGTGCCCTACTCGCTCATCCCCACGGCCTTTGTCAGCACCTGGAAGCACCTGCCATCGTGAGGAGCACCTGCGGAGCCCACCAGGTGAGTCCCCACAGCCTGGGGCCTGTTCCCACTCCCAGGCAAGGATACTGTGTCCGCCAGGGAGGGCTGGACAGGGGAGCAGGCGGCTGGGTGCTCTGGGAGCCTGTTCCAGATCCAGAGCTAAAGCCTAGCTCTGCCCCTTACTTGCCGTTGACCTTGAGCAGAGCGCGTAAGGCCTCTGCCAAATGGGAACCACCACCTGATGGGTGCGGTGCATCCCAGACATGGCTGCACGTCAGAATCCCTGGGGGTCTTTGACAGCACTACATGGAGGTTGGGCCACCGGCCAAGTCCAGGAGCAGCCCGCACGCAAGGGCATCCTCACGTCTGACACAGCGGCGAGTTAGGGCCTCCCCAGATCCCTCTCCGATGCGAGTATCCACGGGAAGGACTCACAGAGTGCACCGCAGGCCATCGTGGTCACAGTCATGGCCTGCTATAGGAAGGGTTGGCCAAGTACAGATGACCGGCGCAGAGCCCTCCGCCCGTGCAGTCCGGACAGTGTCACTGTGCCGCCATCGGCGAGTGGACACACAGAATATTGCCCACCGGGGATGCTCACACAAGCTCCAGACTTCTTCCCGGGGCCCCATCACGGAGGCTCGATGGGTTGTCCGCAGGGTTCCTCTCCGACTCCAGGCCAGCTGGTACAGCATGACCCAAAGCCCCTACCCAAAGTCACACGATGTGCCCTCCGCACCCCTGCCCTAAACAAGGAGTCTATTGGGTACAGCTGTACCCAGAAGCCAAGGGCAAAGGCCAGGCTTCTTCATGACACAAGTGCTAAAGACCATGCCACGCCCCAGACTAGGCGAGTCCAGTGTGCATCCAGTGTGCAAACGGCACCCCAGGGGCCCATGAGAAACAGGGACAGTGGACAGGAGCGCTCAAGGGGTGGGGGGCGTGCTGGAGCGGTGGGGCAGGCACCCTGTGGAGGCAGCAGGGTGCTGCTCCATCCCGTGCAGTGGCGAGCAGGCCTTCCTCCGAGCGGGCATCTTGGTGAACCGTGGGCCCCTGGGCCGGGCAGGGACTGCGACAGAGGACTGCCCAAGTTTCTGCTCCTGCCCTTTGTTCTTGGGCTGTTAATGATGTGAGGTCCTTACCCAAAAGGGGAAGGTGACAGGAGATGCAGGGAGCTAAGGGGCACCGTCAGGGGCTCTTTGGAAGGATGGAGGGACACAGGAGGGACTTACCCAAGGCCTGAGGGCAGGTACAGAGTCAGCTGGAGGGAAGGACCAGCTTATCCAGACAGGCCTCTTCTGAGGGTGGAGGGGGTCTCTCCTGCAGCCCCTCTGGGGCGGGGACAGCTTCAGAACCGCAGTTGGATTAGGGCACCATGAGCTCCGGCTGGGAGCTCAGGAGTAGGAGCTGAAAGCGCACGCTGGAGTTGGAGGCACCAGGGAAGGGATTATGTTCTGATTCCACCCTCCTTGGTCAGGCCCTGGGGAAGCCAGGCTCTTAGTCCCAGCCCTTAGGACTGAGTTCTGGGGCCCCCGGGGTGAGTGGGAGGCAGGGAGGCCTCGGTCCCAGGGGCCATGAGAAGCAGGGGCACAGGGCAAGAGATCCCAGGCTCAGTGTGCAGCGCGAGAAGAGGCCTGGCAGGCTACCCTTCCCACCGGGGAGGGCTGGTGACCAGCCACAGTTCCAGAAACCGGCCCTCAGGCCAGGCCCGGACTCAGCCCCCTTCAGTTCAGGTCACAGAAGCCCCCTCAGGAGCCAGCCTGGGCCAAAAACCTGATTTCCTCCCTGACGTGGTGGCTACTGAGACTCCCCCTCCCAACAAGCACGTGCTCTGGCCCGGAGATAGGTCGGCTGGGCCTTGAGGCCCTGATGGGGATGCGCTGGCCTGTGAAGCCATCCAGGTTACGTCCCCTCCTATGTCCAGGGTCTTCGGGCCCCTAAAGGCCAAAGCTTTGTCCCCTTCTGCAGTTGCCCTGTTTTGTTTTAATCTGCTCTCTCCCTCTTTGGGAGAAAAATCTGAGTAGCCCCAGTTGTTGGTCCCCTGGGGTATAAACTTCAAGAGAATAGCGGCAACTCCTCCTGGCCTCCCTTTTCCTGCACTTGGGGGTGGTTCCCTGTGGGGCCTGAGGGCTCCTCCCGTTGGTGCTTGGCCCTCCCCATGACCCTGGACAGCAGTGCAACCCCACGTGGGAGGGGTTGGGGGCAGGCCAGCAGACCTCATGAGCCCTGTGCTTCTCCAGGAGTTTTCCCCCATCCCAGGGATGGGGACGCAAGCACACATCTCTCTTTGGTTCTGGCTCTCACTGGCTGCTTGACCCTCCCCTGAGCCCAGCGTTGCCACCTGGAGTAGAGAGTAGAAATTGTGTGACCCCTGATACTTGTGTAGGTCAAGTGAGGGGCTGTTCAGAGTCGGTTTTGTTTTTTTTTTTTAAAGATTTTTATTTATTTATTGAAAGAGAGGCAGTGAGAGAGATCATGAGCGAGGAGAAGGTCAGAGGGAGAAGCAGACTCCCCGTGGCGCTGGGAGGCCGATGCGGGACTCGATCCCGGGACTCCAGGATCATGACCTGAGCCGAAGGCAGTCGTCCAACCAACTGAGCCACCCAGGCGTCCCCAGAGTCGGTTTTTATACGAGGTGATGAAACAGAAGGATGGTGATGGTGGTAATAATGGCTTCGGGATGCGTTGGGCAGTGGAGGTCTCTCTGCATCCCTGGGCCAGCCCCTCCTTCTGGAAGGGTGTAGGAGGCACGTGGGGTGTGCCTGTTCGAGTGCTGCCTTGTCCCTCAGTCGGGCCCAGTCCATAGTGGGGGTGCCGCTGTCAGCCCCATTTCAGGGAGGAGGAAGCAGGTGCAGAGGGGCTCATGGCACAAGATGGAGCCCGTCCTGCACCCCGGGGGGAAGCTGTGCCTGGGCCCTGCCGTCCCAGGGCCGTGGTTGCACAAGAGCGTGTGAGTGTCCTGGGCACAGGTTTCCCGAGCTCCTGCGCCAGCAGAAGGTCCTTTAGCTCTTGCTCCATATCCGTGCCGTTTCCTCCTCGAGGGCCTTGCAGCCAAGCAGCCCCCTTCCTGCAGTCCCTCGTCCTCCTGGGAACCACCGCTCTCGTATTCTGTCCAGCAGGTTGACCCGGGGTTCCCATGCTCCACCCAGCCCTGCTTCCCTTCAGCCTTGTCTGTCTCGGACAGCTGGGAGTTCTCCAGATCTCTTCAAAGGCCGGGGCCTAAACAGGGCTCTCTGGGGAGGCGCCTGTGACAAGGCACGGGGCAGGAAGCTGATGCCCCGGGGGTGCCGGGCCCTCCCTTCTCTCCCCAGGAGGTAGGGCTGCAGCAGCAGGTCGGTAGCCCTCCAGTGTGGCTGCTCAGCTGCCACCGCAGTGCTGCAGGCTGGGGCTGGAGGGGGCGCCCTGAGTCGGGACAGCAGATGGAAGCGGAGGCCAGGCCGGGGCCTGGGACAGCAGCAGCGTGGGGGTGGGGACTGCTGAGCTGTGGCACCCGAACAAGGCACAAGAGCAGCCCAGGCCGAGCACCGTCCGTGGGGATGGAGGACCGGAAGAGCAGAGATGTGCGGGCCGGGCGCCTCCCCATCTGCCTGCCGTGGGCACCCGCAGTGGACCGTGACACTTTCCACTGAGCCTGACTGCCAGCTGGGAATCCCCCTGCCCAGTGCCAGAGCACGGGTCCCATATCTCCGCGCCCACCTCCCTGTCCCGCTGTCCCAGGCCCTCCCACAGGGACCTTTCTGCCTCTGTGCCTGGAGTGCCCCTCCGTCCCTGACCCCCTGTCCAGCCTGCGCGACTCCGACTTCAGGAACCGGCAACCAGAGGTCGCCCGCACTCGGCATCCCTCAGCATGCCCCCGGCTGACGTCCCCGCAGTCACGCCCAGCTCCTCCTTGCCCTTTCCCTGTCTCGGCCACCAGCCTTGAGTTCCCGGTGGGTGCCTCCGTCTACGGTGAGCGCACTCGGTGTGCTATTGACCCCTCAGAACGAGCCGTCCCAGGTGCTGCTGCTGCAAAGGTGGCAGCTGAGACACAGGGTAGGTTGTTGGCATCTGGTGAACGGTGTTAGGAAGGGTTGGAGTGGGGTTTGGGCCCCCAACATGCCCCACTCCTGCAGGCATCTGGAGAGCCAGACACTGGTCTGTTCCCGTCCACACCCTGGCACCGAGCAGGGGACCGGCACGGGCGACCACCGGGCGGCAGGGCTGATGGCTGTGTTGCAAGCCTGATGCCTGCAGGAGCTCCAGGACCAGCCCCCGAGCCCCAGCCCCCAAGGCGTAGCCAGACCCACGTATCTGGGTGACCACAGCCAGCGGCCGCTGGGAGGCCCCCGGAGCTGGGTCTGGGTTACCCTGGGTTACCTGTGAAGTGTAGACTAGCCATGAGTGTTCTTTTCTCTTTCTCTCTCCCACTGAGTCCCCCTTCCCCCATCAAGCCCTTTAAAGGCACAACGCCCTCGTCTTTCCTCCCCTGACCCCCACCCAGCATGCCGGGCAAGCGTCCAGGCCACCAGGAGCTCATCTCTCCACGGTCATTGTTGGGACCCAGCCACTTGGGGTGTGGGGGTGGAGGGGCCTCCAGTCCCAGCTCTGGGAAAGGCTGAGCCTGTCATTCCCCTGCGGGGCCCTGTGAGGCCCTGCGAGGGGCTCAGTCACTGCCACTGGAGGGGCGACTTAGCACATTCTGTCCTGCCTTAAAAGAAATTGCCACTGAGAGGAAATCCCAGAGCCCAGATCCACACAGATGGGGCTGGTGTCGTGAGAAAGGTGCCTGGGCGGGAGTTGAGGCCTCTTGAAACACCCCAGCTCCGTGCATCCGTCCACACACCCACAGTCCCGTGCTTGCTGGGGTTCACTGGGGTTGGCCGTGTGCCAGGCCTTGGATCAGGATGCCGGCCGCCTTCCCTCGCTGCAGTCCTGTGGGGCAGACCCCTCACCCACGACCCACAGGACCGTGAGAGCCGTAAGGGGTTTCCCAGGGCCAGCCGTGCGCAGGCAGTGGGGGTGACCACAGACACCACGCCACTCTGCAAGGTGAAGGCATGTCCCATCAGACAGATCGGGGGGCCTAGGCCTCGGAGAAGCACCTGCCCCAAGTTGGGGTGGCCCAGACCGGAGCAGCTGTGGCCGAGTCCAAGGGTGGCTGTGTGAGCTGGGAGGGAGTTCAGGAGCCAGGAGGCGGGCTCCCCAGTTCCTCCGCCACAAGAGTGCTTCTGGGTGCTGTCTCCTCTTCAGCGACCCGGCTAGTCCAGAGGGGCCACTCAGGGTCCCAGCTCAGGGTCCCAGCTCAGGGTCCCACGGCCCCTCATCCTTGCCATGAGGGGCTTTGAGATTTGGCTTGGGGAAGCAGTGGGGCCTTGCTTTGGGAGGAATCTCTTGTCTGCCTAGTGCGGCGTGAGGGTGTAGAGCAGAGACGGGCCCCAGAGGTGTGGGTTGGCCACCTTGGAGCGTCTGGGGATGTTAGAGGCCCTGTGACCGAGCTTCTCACTTGTGAGGGGCCTTCACCAGCCGCCACCCCGAGGAAAAAGTGGCTGCCCTGTCTGGCATCTGGGGGCTGCTGACCCCCTGGGGACTACCTGCCGTGTTCAAGCCAACCTTCCAGAAGCCTTGGCAGTGATGGAGCAAGGAAGAAAGTCCCACAGGTTCCAGTGCTGGTGTGAATTTTTAAATGTTACCTGAGTACGTGCAGACCTGCAGGTAGCTCCAAGCCCCTTACGTGCAGAGATCTTGTCCAGCGGACACAAATGCGGAGGCTCGGTCTCACCGAAGCTGTCACATCAAGAGCAGCATCATTAATTGTCCTGCAGAGATGGTCTTGCCTCTTTGCCTTTTGGCGGACGCGCAGGTTTCCTGGAGTGCTCCGCCTGCCTGTGCCCAGGCCCAGCTTCCCTGTGCCTCTCCGGAGCCCCCGGGAGACTCCTCTAGGCAGTTCAGCATGCTGGAAGGACATCCTCCGTGTCCCCTGGCACACACGTGTCTCCTTGGTTAGGGCCATTCCTGACCCCATGGCACTTCCAGTGCTGTCCAGACCAAGTGTGCTGTCCGGCGCTGAATGGGTATGCGGACAAGCGGGTGCCTGGAAATCTCTGGGAGCGCTCCAGAGAACCTCTTCGTACAGAGCCGCCCCCACCCCAGGGGTTCGGCTCCTGTGGAGGACAAGTGGGCAGTCCCTGCCATGCTGTCCTGAGCACATCCTCCTCCCCACCCAGCCGAGCCCCCTCTGAGCCCACCTGGCCCTTTGCTCCTTCAGCTCCAACCTCGAGTGTCACCGCCTGACCCGGACACATGTCCACAGCCACATCTCCACACGCTATGCTGAGCTGTCGTGGTGGGACAGGCTTTAAAATGGACCACGCTGGCCCAGGTGGGCTATCGCATACGCTTCAAGGACATCCTCCACGAAACCTCTCTCGTGCAGTAGACCGCTCCGTCCTCTCCAGGAGGCTCAGAGCCATCCCTCGTCTTCCAGAGGACAACAGGAGGCTCAGAGAGAGCAGACGCTGCACTGAGGGAGAAGCCAGGCTGGGGTGTGAGCTCGGTGACCACAGGCCTGTGCTCCCTCCTTCACCACTGTCGGCCCCCAGCACCCGTGTCAGGGCACAGTAAATACCCGTGGAGACCAGTGTGCTGGCTGGCGTCCGCGCCTGCCTCCCTGCTCTCTGGCCGTGTCTACACCTGCCCTGTTTCCACCTCACTGGCCTCATTGTCGATTTTCAGACACGTCAGCTTCCCACCCCCGGGCCTTTGCATGTGCCATTCCCCCTGCCTGCACTGCCGTTACCCCCTCTAGCAAACTCCTGTCCCTCCTTCAGGTTTCAGGTTAAGCATTACCACCCACCCACACCCTCCACCAAAATAAAAAGTCCTGGTTCTACTTTTTTGTTTTTCACATATGGCACCTCTGTCAGCCTGTGATTGCTCTCTGCAGTTCCTGGTACCAGCGTACAGTGTCTCCCACCCAGCGACGATCGGGATATGGTCGCTGGTGTCTGTTTGCCCTCCTGTCTCCCCAGTGCCGAGTGTGGTGCCTCTGGGTTGTGGGGGCTCAGGGCACGGAGCTGAGGGGCTGAAGGGACAGGGGATGGTTGCCACGTTCCAGGTGAGGTAACCAGGGCCCAGGGAAACGCTGAACTGCCCAGGGCTGCACTGCTGGTAAACGGAAGAGCTGCGTTCTCACGCCCCGGCCTTCTCCCGGGGCCTCACTTCCAGCCCCTTATGTGGGGCCTCCCCGTTCTCACTTTGTTCCAGGTTAGGACAGAGCCATGTGCACATGACTCATGCTCTCTCCCTCCCTCTGTCTCCTCTGCAGACTCTGCGTGTCTCTCCCCACCCCTGCGGCTGCAGCCCTCAATGTCCCAGAGTGGCCCTCACCCCGTCCGCCACCGTGGGAAGCTCAGCCCGGCCCCGGAGCAGCACTTGAGGTGGCCGGAAGCTGGTCCCATCAGCTCTGGGAGCAGCAGTCTCGGGGGCTGTCCTGAGCTTCAGACAGGAGGAGAGAAGCCATCTCGAGTGCCCCGTGTGTCTGCCCAAGGCCTTTTCCGCTTTGCAGTGGTTTGTAGGGGAGAGGACCTTCCGCAGGCACGTCGACCGACCCCAGGACTCCCTCAGCCTCGGGGACAAGCCATGTGTGCAGAGCGTTGAGGTTGCTGGTCTCAGCAAGTCCTGTGCAGGGGCGCGGGAGGCTGGGCAGGGGGGAGCCCTGGGTGTGTTGGGACGGGCGGTACTGGGAGGCCTTCACACAGCGCCCACAGCACAGCCTTGGCCTCGCCACCTCCCTGTTGTCATTGTAACGTCACCCAGCAGAGGGTGTCCCGCACCTCGGGGAGACGGGGTCCACCTGGACTGAGAATACAGGTTGCCCAAGAGGAAATCAGGGACACGTGTCATGGGCAGAAACCCATCGGGTGACCTCGGTGGTGCCCACGAGACTTCATTAGCGAACGACACCAAGACCCCCAGTGTTAAAGAGGAAGCTGTTTTGGGCCCCTCCCTCAAGTCAGGCCAGCCTTGCCCTGGTGCAGAGACACTCGGGTCCTGTCATCGGACTTGGGGGCTGCCCGTCTCCTCAGAGCCTGCCTGTCCTCAGAGCCTACCCCAAGAGGTGGCAGTGACCCCATCTCCTGACAGGACCATGCTGGCCCTCAGGATGTGGCGGGGCCCCCGAGCCTGGGAGCAAATAGGAGATGGCACCCCCAGGGTTACTCCAGGGCACCCACTCTAGATCCCTCCAGGCCTGCAGGATAGCAGCAGGGCCTGTGACCCCGGGCCCCCAGCCAGCACCAGCTGTCCTCTGGCATCTGGGCCTTCCAGCTGGCCCATTTGCTCACTGGGCCCCAAAAGCAAGAATGGTCCCGAGGAGAACTGCCAGGTCTTCAGTCATTTTCTCCACGTCTCAAGTCAGTGGGACCCTCATCCGTGTATCCCCAGTATCTGGGCTTCCGGAGGGGCAGCTCACACCTAGTATTAGGGTTTGCAGCCCAGCCTTGCCACCCCTGGGCAGCACTGTTGGGGGGCGCGGAATGGGGCCTGGGCCAAACCGGGGCCCACCTGGCCGCCCGCCAGCTGCCTGCCGTTTGCTCGGTGCTGCTCGGCTAGGTCGGGACTGGGGCGCCCAAGCGAGCTGCGCCGTGGATGGGGCCGCATCAGAAACCAGCCGCCGTCTGGAACCCTGCCCTGCCGCCTCGCGGGAAGTCCGTGCTGCTGCTGGCCCTGCGGGCGTCCCTTGGGGAGGGCTCTTGGTGCTGGGTTCACCCGCCCGTGAGCCCCGGCCACGGCCCGTCGGCTGCCGCTTGGGAAACGCTGGAAGCAGCGAGTGCATCTCCAGGTCCGTCGGGGGCCGCAGACGCTGCCGGCCCAGAGGCTGGCCTCCGCGGGTCCAGTGCGCAGCCCCGGCCGCGAGAAGCCCAGGGCGCTGGACCCGGGAGAGGGCGCGGCGGGGGCGGCTGGGGGTGGAGGAGGCTGTCGCCTGGCGGCCCGGCTTCTGGAAGGCTGAGGTGGGACAAGCACACTTGTCACGCAGCACCGCGAACCTCGTGGTGGTGCTTCCCCCAAGAGTTGTGTTCCTTCTGTTTCTAACTTAATAAAAGAGCTGAGAAAACCTGTGCTTCCCTGGGGGCTGGGACCCGTGTTGCGACAGAAGGCACCAGCACACTTGGCTTTCACCCTACCAGTCAGGGCTGGAAGTCTGCCCCCTGGCATCTGCCCCACTGAAGAGTTGGGGGGGGCGGGGAGGCTGGCTCCCCAAGGACCCCTGGTGCCCAGAGGAGATGGCTTCCTTTCCTCAGACTGTCCCAGCTGTGAAGCCTTCGAATTGGCCCTTGACCCTCGTAGAATCCAGATTGCTTTCCTGAAAAAGCCCGTGCGGGGAACTCGAAGTGGAATGGGCTTGTCTGTGCGGGAGCCCCGGCCGGCACTCTGTGTGAGCAGGGGGAGGCAGGGGGAGGCGGTGCAGTTGCCCCCAGGGGCCTCTGACGCTCGTGTCCCCTGCTGTCCCTTCACGCCCTCCAGAGCCAGTGTAACTCCCACTTCGGGATCGTGGGCTCTGGGCACCCCTCAGAGCAGGCAGCCCAGTGTGGCCCCCACCCCCAATGCGCTCTGAACCTCCGCGGTACGCAGGCCCCCAGAACCCAAACTGGCCTTGAACGTGTGAGTCGATCTTGTACGTGTGATTAAGTGTGCTGCACTGAGAAGCTCCAAGCAGACGCCCTCCCCGCCCCTCCACAAACCCCCAGGCACAGGCCCTCGTGTTGCCTGCCCCTGCCCGGGTCCTGGGAATGACCGCAAGCACGCCCCCCTCACAGGCCTGGACGCTGGCCACCAGAAGTGGGCGCGGCCTCCTGTTAGGCTGCGGTAGACAGCGGTGCAGGTGGTAAGCAGAGGAGTATTTCTCATTATGCAGCCTCGGTGTGACTGAGCGAGCCCAGGCCGGAGTCGCTCCGTGGGATCGGGCCCCAGCCTCCTATCTTACCCTGGCCGCTTCCGTGCAAGGCTTCATCTCCTGGCCCAACGCGGCCACCCTGTTCCTGCCATCTCTTCTGCATTCCAGCCATTGGAAAAGGGAGGGGACAGGACCAGCAAACCTCTTAAAGGGTGTGCCCCCAAACTTGCACACGTAAGTTGTGCACACTTCCATGTGAGGCTGGACATGCCAGCCACAACTCCAGATGGTCACTGACTAGAGGGGAGGTGGGTACCGAAGGACAGGGAGCAGCCTCTGCCCCTGCGCGTCTGTCCTGGGGTTGAAAGGAGCCTGTCTGCACTGGCTTGCTCCTCCTTCCCTGGAGCTCGTCAAGTGGGGCGCGCAGAGAGCCTCTGGCCTCTTCAAGAACCTGGCCCTGTGTGTGCCTGCGTCGGGGAGGCCCACCCGTGCTGCCGCTCACCGGCGCTTTGCCTGCTTTGCCCCTGTGGTCTGCACCGTGACCCCAGGAGCTGGGCATTCCCGTCCTCCTCCTGCTGATGAGGAAACAGGCCTAGAGGTTAAAGCCTCCCTCGCCCCGTGCAAGGGCTCACACTGGTGGTGGGAGGCAGGAGGCCACAGTGGCCAGAAGGAGTCAGGGGCCGGGTCAGTGCTCCCCTGTGTGTGTCTGATTTGGGGGCGGCAGGGTTAACGAGGAAGTGAGGTCAGGTTCTGGGGAGTGCTAAACGCCACACCACGCACCCAGAGAAGGGCCGCCACCATCCCGGTGCCAGGGTGGGGTGTGCACCCAGTCACTGGCCAGCACACCCAATTCCACGTTCCTTGGACCTGCCCTGCTGCCAGACCGTGTCTGGGATGGGGCTTTGGGAAGGGAGCCCCAGCAGCGATGGGGTGAGAAATCCTGGGAACCTTGTCCCAAGCTGGCCCACAGAGCTCTGGCGGGTTATAGCTCCCGTGGTCGGGCCTCGTAGAGCCATCAGCACCCCACGAGCTAGCTACCCCCTAGGGGGTTGCATTTCCCAAGGCCAGTGAGGAGGTCCGGTGGTCCCTCCTCACTGCTCCTTAGCCAGGTCTGCCTGTGTCCAAAGGCCCTTCCCGGGTACAGGAGCCAGTGAGGGGCCAGCCCAGATCATCGACCCCAATGGCCTGTGGCCACCATCCCTGCTCAGCACCCAAGGCTATATAAATTCTGGTGGGGAGAGAAGGAGCCTTGTAAGCAGCGATTAATCGTCTTTAACGAGGGGCTCAGAAAGAGCCTTTGGTTCTTCTGGGTCATCTGTAGGTGGGTATTTCGTGCGGTAAGAAATGAACTGCATCGTCCGAGCCACGGTCGTTCCACCAGCCTCTCCCCGTGGGAGGGGGGAACATTCTTCTCAACTTAGGGGTGGCCAGCCTCCCCCCGCCTTCCCTGCCCCTCCGCCTGCGGTGCCAGAACGGGCCCCATCTGACCACCTGGCCTCTGGGCTCGAGGCCCCTGCCAGCATCGGGCCCCGTCCGGAGGCAGGTGTGGTTGGGGTCCACTTCCAGCAGGGATGCACGGCTGTCCTGGATCCTCACCTGCTTTGTTGCACCTTAGGCCTGGGTCTGGGCTTGGGATCCCGAATCCCAGAATCCCCTGGGATTTGGGATCGATTTCAGGGGCCTGTGCCCTTCAGTAGGAAAGAATTCCACCCTTATTTTCACGAACCTCTAACCAGCAGCATTTTCTTCAACTGGGAACAGAGCCGGCCGCCTCACTGGTATGATCAGCCTCCATGACCGACTGGATGTCCTCACGTTACAGTTGTCAATATCTTGGAATATCATGAACTCACGATCTTGTCCAAATTACAGTCATTCTCAGACTGGCCACCGGATCACGGTAGTAAAAGAGAACCATGGACCTGACATTATAAATTCGGTTTCTAAAATATACGGGAACTGTGTCCCCACCTCTTAGGTTGGAATCCTGACCAATCCCCTGCGCCTCAGAATGTGGCCTTTTGGGAGATGGGCCCTTTGCAGATGTAATCAGTGAAGATGAGGTCATAGCACAGCAGGCTGGGCCCCTCACCCAACCTGACCCGCGTCCTTAGAGGGGAAGTGTGAGCGCGGACATGCACACGGGAACGCGTGCTCCCCTGGGGAAGCTCGTGGTCCGGACTCACTGGCAGGAGGGTTGCCGTCCAGCCCCCCAGCCTGGGTCCCACGACTCCAGGACACCAGCCACACACAGGTTCAGGTGCCCGATGCCAGCCACTCTGGCCAGGCCTCTGAGAGCCACACTCACCCACCCCCGCAGAGCCTCCAGATGACCACGGAGCTGCTCCTGGGGATCATTTCCGACCTCCTCCTCCTCCCCGATGACAGGAGACCAGCCAAGGGCCCTGAGCAGAGAAGAGCTGCCGGAACCTGGCAGAGCCCTGAACGCCAGGGACACATTTGTGATGCACGTCCCCAGAGACCAGGATCCCAGTTCCCGGATCCAGACAACGGGGACACTAGGGCTGCGAGTCCTGTCCCCCCACCCCGACAGATACAGAGCAGTGGGTGGCATCGTTCTGCCTCGTCCTTCTGTAGTCACACACCTGACTGCCAGGTGCTTCCGGCTGCCTTTGTGAGAAATGGGTGCAGAATCTGTAGGCAGAGGAGAGAAGGCTAGTGCACACCCAGATCACTGCTCACCCCTCCAGCTGCCCGTCTGTCGGACGCCAGGTCCCTCGGGTCTCCATACTTCAGCACGGAGCTTCATCGGCCGCGTGTGTAAAGGGGACACACGGTGAGTGTGGCCATGGCAGGGGGTCCCTAGGAGAACTGGGCAAGTTAAGGACTCACGAGTGTCTGATGCAGGAGGTGCTGAGCAGGCCTGGCTCTCAGGAAACGCCTGGCAAACATCATCGCTGTGTAGTTCTCCTTGGTGGCTCTGGGCCAGCCTTCCTGGTGCCGAGGCCGCGGCCCTGGCCAGCTGGCCCAGGCCGAAGCGGTGGGCCCACGCCCATCCCTGCCTTCCCGGCCATCTCTGAGAACATCCTAGTTGGTGGTGTTTTCCTTCTTGGGTCAATGCTTTGAGCCACGTTACACGCCAAAGTGGTTTTTGAGGTCAGGGGTCCTTGGGAAGCCCTGAGCACCCAGCCGTCAGGCAGCATCCTTGGCCCCTGGGCCCAGCCAGGCATCTGTGCCCTCTCTGCTGGGGAACATGTGTTGTTTCCCGTGTAGGCTTGGGACTGTGGCCCGCAGAGGCCAGGGTGGCCTTCAGAGGGAAGCTGAGCGGAGCACAACGGTGGCGAGCCGCCTAGGCGGGACGGAGAGCCTCTGCGCCAAGGGAGGAGCCGGGCGCACATGCCCCGGGGAGCCCTGGGGGTTGGTTCAGAGAGTCTGGGGACCAGGCATCCCAGTTTGCCCAGGACCGAGTGGTTCTGGGAAGCAGGAGAATGTCATGCTGACGAGGACGGGGGGCTTGCTCCACCCGCGTCCCCTCTGCTGGCGCCCGGAGCCCAGGGGTCTTGTGTTGGTGTCAGGCAGGGTGCTGAGCTGGAGGTGTGCCCCAGGGGAGGGAGCAGGGGCCAGCTTCCCCCCAGGCGGGGCCCACGCCCTGCCAGCAGCGTGTCACGGGTAAACCCCAGACCTTTCGGGTCTCCCATCTGTCGGGAAAGCTGGTCATCCCCTTGTGGGGTTCATCACAAAGGCTGTCTGTAGGCACTCCCGGGGTGGCGGTCCCCTGCAGGAGGAGACTCCGTAACTGGTTCACTGGGTCGAATTGGGTCGGACTGGACTGTGTTCCTGGGCAATTACTTCCTCTAATTTCTGGAGCACCAACTTCGTGCCAAGCACCGGGCTCCGTGCTGGTGGCCGCCGTTCCGCCCGGTAGGTGCCGAGGTCCCACGTGCTCTCATCTGCCCTCTCTGCTGCCCCGTGGACACCGGCAGCGGCCTCCCAAGCCCCCTGGGCCAGGACAGGGGAGCAGGAGGCACTGTGCTGCCCCATCCCCTGGGGTGACAGCAGAGCCCCAGGCGGCTGGCAGCTCTGAGAACAAAACACATGCTGAGAT